AATGCTGCAATACAACTCATTTGCTGTAATTTGTAGGTTGTCTTCTGATTCCATTATTATTACTACATCATCTATGAAACAGATTGTTTAGATATTCTTTCTTTTACCCCTCTTGATTGCTAGTTTCCATTCCTTAAGTATATGGTTGGAATATGTATTGAATAAGTATGGTGACAGACTACATCGTTGTCTTAATCCTGCATCGTTGTTGTGAAAGTTTTTGACAAGTTACACAAAAAGTTCCTATTTTGTCAACTAGTGTAATGTTTGATGTGATGTGTGCAATAAAATTAATTACTATTAATTAGAAATCCTGAAAATTTTATACACCCCATCAAGGTGGGTCGGTCCACATCCTGAGAGGGGGATGCAGAGAAGGCTCTAATGTGTTCCTTTCTCCATCTTTCATCCTGCTTTTCATATCATGTCACCTGCATTAGTTTTTCACCCCATTTTTTGTTCATCGTTGTTCTTTTTTGTATGCTGAACACCCACGCATGGCGACACGTGTTGGAGGGAATGGAAGTTGAGCGGTCTGTGCATACTAGCTCGTATGCCACCTTGACCCTGGAACCATGGGGTAGACTGTTGCACCCCAGCGAGTCCTGGTGACTGCTTTTGTATGTTGTACTGCATCCTTCTAGACAGCAGTTGAGAGCTAACCCACCTCTGATCAAGCAGCTCAGACTTCGTCTTTGAAATCTAGAGTGACCAGTTGAGTGCCACGGCGGGGTAGCGCTATCATCATCCCACAGTATCTGCGTGTCAACTCTGGTACCCCATTGGAGTGTACCCATATTGGACTCGTGGGTGGGGAGCACGGAGATGAAACACCTTCCATTTTATGGAACATAAAACCAACCGATTGCCCTCCTCCGGAAAGAAAGGTTTCCGGTTTTGAAATAACGGTTGATTTAAATAGTTGATTGTTTGTTTTTCAAAGAAGAGGATAGACCGAAGAAACCACGTTTTCTTCTTATGGCATGCTACGAGCAAGGACAGGCATTTAAGAGTATGAGTGCAGTTCGTCTAATGCGAGTAATTGAGAATTCATTCGGTATGCTCCAAGCGGTCGTGCGACGAAGGAATTTCTATTTGAAGCGGACACCAACGAGCAAATAGAAAAGATGCTTAAAACTAAGCAAACTGGCGGCTTCCATGAGGAAGTGATCACTCACCCTACCCTTAACCTTTGTAAGGGAGTGACGACTTTGCTTTTGAAAGTGAGGAGAATCTTATCTCTTTCTTTAAGAGTCACGGTGTAACAGAGGTATTCAAGATCAATAGGAAGGATCATGGAAGAGAGATCCCCACACTGATCCTAACGTTCAGTCACCGATCCCTTCCAGAAAGGATCAGTTCTGGATTTACGATCTTCACATGCAGTATGTGCCTAATTCATTGCGCTGTTTTAAATGCAAAAGATATGGCCATACGCAACAACGGTGTATGGCCTGTTCTGCACAAAGTGCAGCAAGTTAATGCTCAATCCAGAAACTCGTGCTACACCGCTGTGCTGTGTGAATTGTGAAGGAGACCACGCGTCTAACTCGAGCAAATGCCATACGTTTCTGGAGGAGACACAGAAGATCCGAGTCACAGATATCTGTGAAACATCACCTGCAGAAATACAAAAAAACATAAATCAAATGAAAAACAAATTCTCTACAGGACTGGATAATATCCCTGACACCCTCATTAAACATACTGCAACAAACATAATAGAACCACTCACCCACGTTTGTAACCACTCCTTAATGACAGGTATCTTCCCAGAAATTCTCAAAAAAGCAAAAGTTAAACCACTATTAAAAAAAGGCAACACTCACGATCCCATGAATTACAGGCCGATATCCTTACAATCTGGATTCTCAAAAATTCTAGAAAAGCCTTTTAATGATAGACTCAAAAAATTTCTCAATTCAAATAACATATTGACAGAGGCCCAACATGGATTCAGAAATAGTAGATCTACAGACACAGCTATCTTCACCTTTCTAAATGACATACTAGTTGCTCTAGATCAGAAAGAAATCCCAATTGGTTTGTTTCTAGATCTATCAAAGGCATTCGACATTATTGACATCACATACTGTTATCTGAACTTGAAACTTTGGGAATTAGAGGCATTGCATATCAATGGGTTAAATCTTACCTCTCACATCGTTGTCAAGTAGTCACAATCAAGCATGTTAGAGATAAAAAGATTTCTACCCATTTTTCCCAACCTAGAATGATAAATTATGGAGTGCCACAAGGATCAATCCTAGGGCCCATACTATTTCTATTACACATCAATGACATGCCCCTGACCCTACAAAAGAGCAAACTGGTCCTATTTTCAGATGACACATACATTATTATTAAAGCAAATACCCAACAAACTCAACAAAAAGAAGCAGGAACAGTCCTAGAGGCACTAGTAAATGGTTCCGGGAAAATAAACTCATCATAAACACTAGTAAAACTGTCTCCCTAAACTTTCGGAATCTGCTCTCTAAAGAAAAGCCTCCAGCACAATTGATGGTAAAATCATGTCTGTAAAAATAGCCCAAAAACAACTTTCCTCGGATTGACTATTCAAGATGATCTCAAATGGAACTCCCATATCACAAATCTAAACAAGCTTACCAAGTCATGTTATGCCATATACATCCTGAAGTCAAATTCAAACTTACATACACTGCGAATGGTGTACTTTGCAAATGTTCACTTGCACCTCAAATACGGAATAATATTCTGGGGAAATTCCCCAGAAAGTAATCACGCTTTCATCCTCCAAAAACGAATCTTGAGAACAATGAAAAACACTCACAAACATGAGTCCTGCAAACTACTGTTCAAAAAATTGCAAATGCTACCACTCCCATGCATGTACATATTTGAAATATTAATCTTCACAAAGAAGACACTTATGGGAAAATAGGATTCTGTTACTCTGAACACAGAAGTTCATAACTATGATACTAGACAAAAAAAGAAATCAACAGGTTCTACACAGTGAAACTTCAGTTTCAAAAAAGAACCCTTATAGAAAGTATTACACTATATAATAAACTTCCTAGCAAATTTAAAAGCTTAAACTCGTTACACACATTCTGGGGAAAAACTGAAAGCTTTCCTGTTAAATCACACATTCTATAGTACAAAAGTATATATGCATCATAAACACGTATCTATATCAATATAAGCTAGTACTAATAATTTTTGCTTTTTCTATTGCATGTTTTCACCTCCCCCCCAAACTGGTTGTTAGATATAAAAGACAGACCCAGCCTAGGTACAAACCTATGAAGAATTTCTTTTTTTATTTATTATTATTATTATTGATTTTTAACCTAAGTCTTCTTACACTACGATTATAAAATTAATTATGTTATAATTAATTAATAAAATAATATTCACTTATATTATAGCTTTTCAGGATATTGTATTTAATAATTGAATTTTAAATTTAATTTATGTCTTGTATTTAATTTTTAGAAATATCTGTATTGTTTATTGTATGATTATATACGTATCCTAACTTGTCATACATGGTGTATGTTGTGACAAATATATTATTATTACGGAAAGTGTCTTTTCCGGAAGCAAAATTCCGGACACCTGGCCAAGAACCCTGGCAATCTGTCTCGATCCTTCTCCAGTGCTAGTCACGCCGGCTAAATCTTCAGCGAGTTACCAAACCTTATTTGCAACTCCTCCAGTAGCGCATGTCTGTGACCAATGTCTCGTGTGGATTTTCCTGAGAAGACATCGCCACTAAGGTGGAAAATAGTAATTCCCACCAAATACAAGAAACAGGCAAAGGAAGCATCTCAGCCAGCAACATCTATCCAATTTTACTCAGCGCCTCGTAAAGGTCGATGTCAATCGGCAGTCCAATCCAAACTCGCAGCTCTTCCAAACCATAACCACCTGCTCAGACTCTTGAGACTGAGCGATAACTCAAGAGTGTCAAGCAGTGGTGGGGGGATTCTGCCTCAGAGGAACCGGCGGCTACGGAGGCAAGCATCTCCGAGTGCAGATGAACGACCATGTGAGTCAAGAGAAACGTTGCATTGGACAGCAAAGATATCCTACCAATCATTTACGCGACTGACATGGCAAAGCGAGGATTCTGAAGCCATGTCACAGGAACCGTGGCGAAGGCGTGAACATAGCGGGAGTCGTCAATCATGGTCTTGCGTCGTAGATCCCGGTATACACCCAGATATTTTAAAGACGTGGTTGGTACTAGTACACATTTATTGTTTAGATTGAATCCCATGTTGCGAAGACACTGAACGTCGGCGAGAAGAGCTTGCTGATTGTTGTTATAAAGCAAAATGTCATAGGTGAATGCTTGACGGTACAGCCCTCCGCATGCATCACCATTTGCAGAATTTAAGGGCTCAACACCAACCCAGCGGTAGGTCAGTGAAAACAAAAGTTGATTTAGCACAAAAGGTTTGAATTGGGTAGAGACAGGTACATGGTAAAATCCATCCCATAAGTCAAGTTTCGCCACAAACACGTTCTCTTGAATAGTTTGAAGGGCCTGTTTTGGCCTCTCAAATTATTCAGCAGGAAATGTGGAAGAAATGATATTCATGCAAATTCCGGCTTTGAAATAGTGACTTATTTAATTAACACAACTTTATTGAAAATACACATATTTTGATGAGCTTTGTATCATCCAGAGCACAAAAAGAGAGGGATTCAGGTGAAGGAAATGGAAGAGAAAACATGATTCTCTTTGTGATATTTAACCTCAAGATTCACAATAAGACATTATCTTATCTCTCCTACCTTCATTGGTTCATAGCCTTTCAAATTTATTTCCATCCTTCCCCTACAGTTGCAATATTGATCTTCTCCAAGTGCTTTTTACTTCCCAGTCTGGATGCCACTTTCGGTCTGTGCTCTCTTTTGGGCTTCCTTTCATAGGTAATATCTAGTGTGATATGCCAATGTTTCAAGTTGCCTTTCCACCAATAATCAAACCGGTACCACAAACAAAAACAAAAAAAAGCTACAAATTAATTTTCTTAACTAAAAACAAAATGAACAAGAATAAGAATAGCATGTTCAAACTGAAGTCATATTTAATTATTTTTTTAAGTAGTGTAGCAATGTTAAGCTTGGCATAAAATTCAATACTTGAAATAAAGGGAAACACATGATAAATTTGCAACATTTAATTACATTTATTAAAAATAGACATTTCATTCATACTATCATAAATATTTGAAATTAATAACAAATTTAATTCTCACCGCACCATAACTTGTGCCTCTCATTCTAAAATAAAACAATACAATGTATATCTCTATATATATATGCAAATATCATCTTTTACTAATCCAATTGTAGAAAAAAGCTGTACATATGTTCCAAAAATAAAAATCTTTACTAATTCCAATTCATTCCTAACATTGTTCAAACATTAGTTACTGATATATATCTCCAGAACAATTTTAAAAATACTCACAGGCACAAAGAAGAGTTAAATTTTTTGTTCATTATAACTACATACACTTTTTGTACTACTTACAATATTAAAACAGCACCATTACATCAAATTAAATGCATTTTTGTCTACTGTTGCATGGAATGCTTCAAAACAAAAAAACAATCCAATTTAAATTTGGAGCATATTCTACCATTTTAAACAACACTGATACAGTTTTCAGTGCACAGTGTCAGCATATCCATGTTATCTCATATTTTTATACAATATTTATATCCTTTGATATATGTACAAGGATCGAACGTAAATTGCAGAAGTAAAAGTAACAATTACAGTCTGAAATTCAACTTTCAAATTAACACTTTTTGCAACTGCTGAACTATTATATAGTAGTGAATGTGGAACCTATTCTTTGTGCAAAACAAATTGTAACAGATTTCAAAATCCAATCACAGAAGCTTTGCTTTGTGCATCTTATCTTCAACTTCAAAAAAATTAATGAAACTGCCATGATACTAATTATAAAATATTATTAAAATATAACAATGAATTTATTAATTTGCCTTTCCGATTAAAAATACAGAGGAATGTACAATACAGAGAATGTATTTGAGAATGCAATTTTTAAATTTCAGCAATGTATATTATCAAGTTCTTAAAATATTCGTAACAAAAAAAAATTTACACATCCAACCGCAATGCATTCTCACTTTGCCTTGGTTTCCATCATTAATTTTTAATATAAGGATATCTAAATTTAGCTCTTGTAGACACAGGAATAAAAAATGTAGAAATCAAAGGCACAGTGATATGCAATGTTCTACACTAAGTTGGCTAAGAAATTAACAAAATTACATCTGCAAAAACGAAATTGCAATATATGTTTTTCTCAACTAAATGCTCTTTTCTTCATTGTTTTGCAATGGAAGAATGCAGACAGACAAAATAAAGATGTTTAAAACTATGCGCAGAAACAGCTCACTAATTTTACACAAGGGTTTTAAAGGCCAGAACCTTGAAAATAATTTTTTACAGTATTTGCTTAAAATGTAACCCAAAAGCATTAGGATGAAAGGATGCTGAAAATACTGAAATTGTTAACAATGGATTTTATACAAGTTTACTCAAAAGCTACACGAGTAACTTTTGGCTAAACTTGTGTAACTTTTGACTTTTCACTGAACTTGTGTAATGTCTTTGGTCAAAAGTTACTCATGCAAATTTCGACTAAAAAAGTGCACTCATAAGAACTTTAGCCAACAGAATATCGGAAAAGTATTCCAATAAAACTTGAATGTTGTTCCAGAACATTCAAAAATTTAATGTGATAGATCACCACAGAGGGGTCTCTTTCCTTTAGCAGTTATTTTAGGTGATGGAACACTACTCGATCTGTTCGGAGATATCCGAGATATGCTTCCAGGTTCTACTTGAGAAGGAGGAATTTCTTGGCTCTCTTTGCTGTCTTTAGTTCCCAATTCTGAGAGAAGAGGAAGGACCGCATTACTAGGTGGAGAACTTTGTGAAGAAACAGCAGGTAAATTAGACACTGCTCCATCAACTTCCTGCAAACAACGAAGAAAAATTTTCTATTACAAGATTATCAAAATCACTCAATAATTCAAGTGCACGAACATAAACTACTTGTAAGTAATATTACATTACAATAACATACTTTAATGCATTTAATATTGAAAAGCTCAATGGATTAATTGACAACTTTCTCAGTATAAAATAAGTAAAACTTAACTGTAAGCAGTGGCTAACAGAATTGGCAAGTATGCAAAATATTCCCTACCTCAGAGGATTCAACTGATGAATGGGAGTCCTCTGGCCCCCCATCAGGCACAGAAATGTGGCCATCTTGTGGTGCATTCAAATAAGGAATAGGGACTGGAGAAGCAGCAGGACGTAAGCAGTGAGGTGGAACATGCGGAAGCCCTGGGACTTGCATGAAAGCAGCATGAGCATCTGGTCTCTGCAACAGAAGTTCAAAAACCAGGGAGAATGAGACTTTGCTTGAGAATTTTATTAATTTCTAACAGTCTACTTCCTCAACTTCTTGTAAGTGCACAGCATATCACAAACCATGGTTTGCTCATGAAACGACTTCTTCACTTCCCTCCCAAATACTAGTGGTTAGTTGTCCAGTATGAATACAGATTCCTACTATTGAAATAATTTATTAGAATTCCTACAATTTTTGTTCCTCACAAAAGGATATTTATATTCTGGGACATCTCCCAAACAAGCACAGAGAAGCAGGTTTTATGGTTAATTGGTAAATTCACTAACAACCCCTTCTCTAACAAGGATAAACCTTTTTGTTTTAACAGTGTTTCTTAAATTGTCTTTCATAATTTGAATTTTCCTTCAAGAAAAGAATTGAAAGTAACTTTTAAAAATCATGTATTATCGTTTAAATGTCCACAAAATATATTACCACTTATTGAAATAGAAGAAATAACATGATATTTTCTTTTCTATATACAGAGTTCCAGAAAGGAGGAAGCTCCTGATGCATAGAGACATCTGGGTAGGAATTTGTGAAGTGGACCACCTCAAAAAGTAAGTTTCTAGATTTTAACTAAAACTAGATTGTTAGTAGTGTAACAAGAACTCAAATATGTATGAAATGTGCATTATTATAATTGTTATTAACAAGTTTTAGTTCAGGTTTTGTCTAGTGCTTCAGAAATTAATTAGCTTCTCAGAACCTGATGATGAAAAATTGATGACATTCACATGTAATGTTTTGAAATTAAATGCTTTTACTAATTCACCATTTGCTAATTCTTCAGCACTGCCATTGGTAGACATTTAGTGTCTTGAGTCTTCTAGATGCCTTTTTGTTGTGCATATACTTTAACCCTTCAGGAGTATTGGGTTTGCTATCACATGATGTATATTTAACTTGCCTTCTTGGATCATCTCTTCTAAAATGTCATTTAATTTTTCCATGTGTTTTGTAGTATCTTTGGATTTTGTTTTCTGGGATCTCTGATTTATATCTACAGATATGCCTCAATAACTTCGAGACTTATTCATTAATGATGATTTTTAACTCTTTTCATTTCGTTTCTTTGATATGACATGGCTTTTGTTTTCTTCTAGAGATTCTCAAATCACTGATTTACAAATATATTTCTTTTTTCTTCCCTTTCATCATTTTCTCAAATTGTGATTTTTTTATGGCTTGCCATTATTAGAATCAATAAAATGCACAAATAAGTGAGTAACAAAAGTACACAGTGGCAGTTTATAACACTTCACTTATTGAACATTTGAAAAGTAAATTAGCTGAATCTATTACCTCACAAAACAAGCTATACAAGCAACAGGCATCTCTGGAGGATCATCATAGAAGTGATTTAAATGCTAGTATCTCCATGGATATTTACTCTGACCCAGAGTGTTTTATTGTAGTTAACAAGATATACGTGATAGATTTAACAAGGACAATTTATGTTGTAAGTATTCATGAATAGACTCCAGAATAAACCTAAAAAATTCATTTGACATGAAAAAATAGCCACACATAATAATGATACTGAATTGTCTTCACCTACATCACAAACTACCAATTTTTTAATGTTAATTGCACCAAAGATTTTCCGACTGTCATTGGTTGAAAAAAGTCTGGTTGCTAACTTCTCTAGATTGAGAAAATCCAGCAAAACACAAGGTCAGTGGCTAATGATAACATTATTGCATCCTTTCTGGGTCATGCTATTTCTTAATGCTACATTTTCAGTCTTCTAAGGGAGCTAAAACTCCGCTCATGATGACGGTACCATCATGAATCTGCTCCAAAGCATACTGACGTGTAGATTTAGTCTAATTAAGTATTGAGGGGAACATGTCCCCACTGTCAATGACACCCTTGCATCCTATAAAGCAGTAATATTTTTCATTTACACAAAACAACATCAAAAATATATANATATATTATATATATTTTAAATATATATATATTATATATATTTAATTTTACAATATTTTAACATAATTTTTATATTATTTCAGTAATACTTCAACAACAAATTTTAATTCATTTTTTTTTAATTTTGAAATATTTAGAGATATTTAACAACCAATGTAATCTCCGACTTATAACTTAAAGAGTATTTATGACCACACGAAAATTAACAAGAAATAATTTTTCATAAATTGTTCTTAATAATTATTACACTATAATTTTCTAGATCAGTAAAACAATAGCACAGAAAGCAATATTACCACAACAAAAATAGGAGGCACAGGACTCCGAGGAGGCTGCGGATCTGTAAAAAGAAGAAATATTAATTTACTCCACAGCATTATAAAAATAAACAAACTGAAGTTATCTCAAAACCAACAGTTTTCATTTAATTTTAGTTCATCATTAAAATATTTCATTCACACTTTTTAAATCATCAGTGCATAAAGTTCCGGGAGTTGGTTGAATTATACTTTTTGATCTATTTTGAGTACTTGGGATCCATTGAACACCAATTTCTTAATTTTTCACTTTTTGTTACGAGAAAAATCACCATTCTAAAAGATGTGATGCTATGCCGGTAGGAGTGGATAGGACTTGAAGAATAAAAATGCAAATTCCTTATAAGAATGATTGATTGATACAGTAAAACACCATTTCTGCATTCCTGAAATTTAGGTTTTCCCCTTCAATTTCCTTATAATCAGAATGTAAAATTGTCCCCACTTATACATTTTTGAAATTAAAATTTCATGTATTTTACACTTTTCCCCTGTGACTGTGCAAACACAAAAAGATAGGATGGCTGATGATCTTTTATGTCTGTTCCCACCCAACCGCTAGAAATACTTATCTGTCAGGAAAGTCAGAATGACTTCATATTGTCTTGGAAGAGACCTGTGCTCTGTATTACAGTGAACTCAATCTATTTTCAAAACAATGAGAAAATGATCAGTGTGTTGTGGTTAGAATACATTTCAGAGATGCCTTACTTATTGTCAACATAAAACTGGTATTATGCAACTAGATAAATGTGGATGACACAAGATTCACATTTTTTCATTGACAATGTAAATGTTAACCTCTGAAAAGCATTTTCAATGGTCCACTAATAAAATTTCAACTCTTTGGCATATAGAAATATCTACTAGAGAGCAATTTTATCTTTGTTTCTTTATCAAACTACTATCTTGTTAAAGCAATCACAGATCAGCGAGTGCCATTCTTTCCAAGACATTTCCTTTCTCACAAGCACATTTATAAGAAACTTTGTTACTACTACTTTTTATTTTGTTACTATATACAATTAAAAGAAGGTGTTAATTTGGAAAAAAGGAAACAGTATTAAATTTCAATACGAATGTATTCAGAGGGGGGATTAGAAAACGGTAGAATTAAGTGTATTTTGAAGAACAAGGCCTAAGAAGTCCAATAATTTTTCATTAAAACTTAATATTATTATTAAAAACACACCATTAATGTCATGAATTTTATTATACAAGTAAAGGACATACAACTGTGGAATGAGTCTTACAATTTTTTCATTAGACCATTTTTCAGTTGACACAATACTGCTGTTCTGGAAGTTTGATTCTAATTTTCACATTATTGCCATTCCACAATAAGAGACATATCACATAAACTCTTTATTATCATAGGCATATTTTGGTCTCTTTCTCATTTCCAATTTACATTTTAGATGTCTCTTTTTGGTCCGGATTTCTTACAATAAAGAAGAAGTGAAAATTCTTTTAGAGGAAGATATAGCAATATTTCAAACAATTATTTCAAATTGGCAACAAATTTACTGGGACCTTTCTGAAACAGTCCCCCACAACAATCTAACAGAGATATATATCCACCCAATATTGACCTGATCCAACATCTACTGATTTCATCTATAAACTTTGCCAAATAATTATGTCTAACACTGATAACTTTAAGGATCATTTTTTGACAAAAATTCTACAGTCTAACATCTTTTGCACTCTCATCATTCATCGAAGAACCATAAACCCATGAGTGAAGAGGCACAATCGCTGATCTACCCTGAATAATAACACACTGTGTTGGGTACATACTACATAGCATTGCATTTTTGGGGCACCAAAATGTTTTAATCATATCACAGGTTAAAAATTGACAACATATGGTATCACCTTTTTCTTGTTGTATTACGTCTCTAATTATTATGAATTTATCCACTGCTTATCAGTTATCACCACTTATCACATTTAATAAAACACAAATAAACTCAGCAAACTAAAAAGTGTCTTCTTATATTCGCAGATTAAGCCTAGTCGGTTAGGATTTAAGTTTTTACACTGCCATTCCATGTAACGAAACTCGTAAATGTTGTCGTAACAATAAACTGCAGTGACGATAAAGATAATATTGCGTGTAATAATACGTAATTATATTCGTGTTCGTATTATTGGCATCCACAGCACAATGTTCTTGAATGGGCTGGTAAAAATAATCTCTAACCAAAGGGCATTGTATCAAATGAAACATAATGTGAAAAAAATGCAGAGAGTTTGTTACAAGATGCTGGTTCAACAAGGCCGCGCGGAATCTCAGTTCAATGCCGGCGATTACAACTCTGTGTTTTGAACAGAAACAGAGGCCATCAACAAGTGCCGAACGGATAGAAAACAACAGAAGGGAACGTTCTTAGATGGCGTCTGATGAAAGACAATGAACAAGGCAAAATTTAGTCCGCAAAACTTTCCAGAGGGTCCTAAAAAGTCAGAAAATGTCAGGAGGAGGACTAAAAAGAAAGAAACATCGATACATGTGAAGACGGTGAGAATAGTGACAAAAACTATGATTATGATGGTATTAAGAAACAAAAAAATTATAGTTCACCAATAAGTTTTAACATTCTCATCAACAAGGCCATTTTCTAGTCAATAAGACATTTTGTAATTTTATTTTGACTAAATAGTAAGAATTAGATAGTTAAAAATCTTCACAATTGGGGGTTGTCTTACTTTCAGGTAAATATGAAATTTCACATCAACTGTCAGACTAGGAATCTTGCATGTGACCATTTGTCTGTTAATTCGGTCAAAGCCTATTCACATAAAAAAGGCAAAATAAGCATAAAGCTGGATTTCTCACAAACTGGAAAACAATCGTGGACCAGACACACATTGAACTTCGTAGAACAGATACATACTGGAGTGGGGAAAAAACCCACAGAGAAGTGGTTTGGCTTTTAGAATTCAAACAATAGATAGAGAAAGAGATTAATAAGAATCACTGCTTTCGCAAAAAGGTGTCCCAAAGCGAAAATCACACTCTGTTGTACTCAGTTTAATGCCATGACCAGAGGAAGGTTAAACAATTCTGTTTCGCAGTAAGCCCTTTTCCTGATTTTAAAAGTATTTCGGGTATTCTAGCGATCTGCTGGTTATGAGCACAGTGTGGCATTTATTTAATCGTAAATTACCCCCACTACTTGCAAAACACATAGGATACCTTGGAATTCTCTCGCTGTTACACCTCATTAGTACTCAGTTCGTATTTTCCCCCTGATTTTACTTTTCGGTTTGTGCATATTTGAGTTTTGTGGATGCCCAGGTTCAATTTAATGCAGCTATCAGCAATGATCTTAACAGAACACACTGCTGTTGTCTGGGTGGTAAAACTACACCTGCTTCAGACAGAAATGCAGTGCCCTTTCTGTGTGACGAGACTCATGCTCACTGCTAATTATTCCTTCAGAATATTTTCATGCAAAAAAACCAACACTCAAAGCTATGGAGTGAGATGTTCGAGAAGCCGCCAGGCTGAAAACTATTTTTTTTATTGCGCAATATTGTAGCAGCTTCCATCTAAATAACGTTGTTCGTGTGGCAGTGAACCACTTCCCTCACTTTGTAGAGCCTGTAACGGGTCCACACAAGCATTCTTGAATGATGAATAATTTTTCAAATGAATAAGCATCAATCCTTCTTATTTTGTTTACTTAATACATTTCCATCCCTATGAGCTTTGTCGCCCTTTCACTTCTTGTTAGGTTGGTGATGCGTAGAAGAGAGTGGAGGGGGTGTCTTAAAACAAGTCAAAATTACGCTCCCCTCATACCCAGAAGATCACTAGAATCTCCAATATTTCTATTTTGACAATGTAAAATGGCAAGAATTGATAGGTCTATGAAAATCTCTGCGTTGTATTACTCAAACGTGAACATTAAAAGTTTCAAATGAATAAACATATTTTACATTGGTTTAATCAACAATTTTGAGAGAAGTTCTCTTTAATTTATCCAAAAATAAATTAGAGAATAATCTTTCTTGCGACTATCTCAATGTTTTCTCCAAATACAATATTAATATTTCAGAAAGATATTAAAAAAAAGGAATCAAAATTCATTTCACACTTTAAAAATGCACCTGTTTACATAAGAATGTGCAAGTTTACATAAAAGTATAGTAAATAAATAAATAAAAGAAAATTACATACGATGAACTCTTTCCACTAGTCTGCAATAATGAGCTTCCAAATTTTTCAGCACCTCCTCCATTTCAGGCCGTTCTCTGGCCTGACTACATACACAGCGCTTGGCTAACTCCATCAAATAATCAAACACTAAATGATTTACTAAGCCAGGCTTTTTGTCCGAGAGCTCCAAAACATTGTTTGGGTATTTCTCAATAAAATCTTTCTGTAAGAGAAAAAATGCTTTGAATCAACAATAACATTATCAACACCACCATGATTGATATAATTTGAAATACACAAGTTTGTATTAATATAGTTTTGATAAAAATAATTCTTTGGAGAAAAGAGAAGAAAGACATTCGAAATTCAAAGAGCAGATTTTGTCACTGGTCCTTGGAAATACCATCAGATAACCTTTCCATTGACAAAGCCCTTACAAGAAGAGCCACAATAGTCTCCCTTCAATGCTTCTTCCTTCTGCTTTCATCATCAATCTATTGAAGACCAACACCAAGACTATTTGGCCTTTTTATCACTACTGGTCTTATCATGACAGTGTCACAGACACAAAATGTGTGTGATTCTCATCAAATGACTCTTCACAAAATTTCAATTATATTTTATTTATAACCTGTTTGCTTTAAAAATTAATTTGACTTCAATCGTACCAGGAACTTCTCCGGTCGTTTCTCATCAAATGCTCTTAAGCCAGTAGCTAATTCAAACATTACCTGCAAAACAAGAACAAATATATAAATGAAGATTAATTGTGTCATTTAATTTGAACAAAATAAAGCTTGAAATACTCACAATACCAAAGCTGTAAGTGTCCACTTTTGTAGACAACTGTTTGTTCCTTAGAAAATCTATGGGCAAGTAAGCTAAAGTTCCATGGATACGACTTATTTTCATGTGTGTATAGTGCCCCTGAGGGCCATCTCGAGCCAATCCAAAATCTCCAATTCGTGGTTCAACATTTTTATCAAGTAGTATGTTGGCACTTTAAGGAATAAAAAATAAAATATGTAAAACTTTGTCCCACATGCAATCAAGAGAAACTAGATCAGAATTACAAAAAACCATCCCAACCTTTTGATATCACCGTGAATAAAAGGTTTCACATGTAAAAATTGCAATCCTCGAGCTGTGCCACGAGCTATGTTGTGCCTCTGAATCCAAGAAAGTGGAAGTGTACCTTGCTGAAAAAATGTCTCTTATTAAATAAAGATACAGAAGAATAAAATTCATCCTTATAACACAATGATCGGCAACTGTGACATTGACATCACTTGATACAATTCACCAACACCCTGCCCACAACTCTGTTGATGAAGTTAGGAAGACAGTGAGGAGGCAGCTTAATTTCACAGAAGCCTTATATATATAAATCAATTTCCCCAGATGTTCTGATGACACACAACTAAAAGCTAGTGTTTATCACATTATGTGTACAACATGCAAATGTAATCTTGGAGTGAATTACATAAGCCATAATTTCACATTAAAGTTTCCCAACCCCAACCCCAGCACCAAGCCACAGCATGCCACTTATAACAATGCCCTCAGACTTTTGTCCATTAAAATATGATCTTCAAGAAAATAAACATTTAAGTTTAGAAAAAATTACTCGCAAACAAATGTGAGCCAAATATAAAAGCAATAGGTGGCTGCAAATGTGCAGAGCAATGGATATTTTGTGTTTGAGGGATTTTTAATCTCTACTGGCTCAACATGTAAGAAGCACAGACTCTGTGTGACTGATTCTCCTCAAAAAACATGTCACAACATTTTAATTACATTTTATTTATAATCTATTTGTTTTAAAAATTTATTTGACTTGATCCCACCACCAACTTCTCGGGTGCCCTCCTTTTATTTTTGAAATGTGTAAAGCATTTGAAATGGTGGGAGATACATATATTTATATACAGAAAGAGATGGAGAGCAAGAGAGAAAGTGAGTGAGAAAAAAGATAAACACTATCACCATGTATTTAGGCAATGAAAACCCAGACCAACAAACCCAGACCTCGCATGAAAATGAACATGTATAAATTCAAAAATATGACCAGAGCATTAACATGTAATTGAGATATTTGGTTAGTTTAGTTATTTATTGCACATCCTAAGACCATTTCAGACCAATAAATCAAAGCATCATAACCAAATATGAATAATTTTTTTTGCCTTATTTGGTCTATGTTTTACATTTATACTAACAAACATTACGCCACTACAACAATAAATTAATAAATCTTCACTTTTTATACACATGTAATAACATTATAAGTATTAGAAAAATCAACCGTGAATTCAATTATAATTTTTTTTCATTTAATGTAATATACTGAAGGAAAGGCATTTAAAAAATTACATTTCAAAAGAAATGTTATTTCTATTAACTGCACATGTTAAAACAATGACACAATTCTAACTAGAGTTGTCACTCCTTTTCCACTATAAAGCATTATTGTGACAGTAAAAAAAATTGTTTTTATTATCATTATTAACTTGATTGGCCACATTGGACCACTTGAGTCGTTCCACTTCACTTTTTACTGTTCATGGTCGACTGTCGAAGGTTTTCACCTTGAGGTGAGCATAAATCCTAGAGTTACAATTCTGAATGTTATTCAGAAAGGTGATAATGAGAGATGGAGGATGATGGATGATAGGGGGTGAAAGGACAAACACAATACAACCAAGCCCGAGGCGGGACTCGAACCCGCGATCTTTCGGTACGAGATCGCTACGGCACTACTGCCTTAGCGATCTCGGCCAACGGATCGGCTTAAAAAATTGTTTTATAATTGAAATGTTAATTACATTATCTTCCAATGTCAGTTAAATTTGATTTATGTTACGCACGTTCTTACCCTGCACAGAAGACGATCTTCTAATGAGCCATTAGGCATAAATTGATAAACAAGACATGGCTCTGTGCCATCCATGCTGAAGCCATACAAAGGAAGTATATTATCATGCCGGCAAGAATTGAGAATGCGAAGCTCCTGCAATAATTGTTCCATTTGTGCTTGATGGCTCTCTGCTGATTCAGCCCCTCTCTAACACAACAAAACAAAATTGAAAACAAAAACACAATAAATTATGAAGATCTCAGACATATTCTACACCAACTCATTCAAATTTTAAACACAGTAATGTCTTCACAAAATTCTGAATACATTTCTAATAACAACAAAGGTGTACCTGCTCAATTTTTTTTATAGCCACCAAAGTATTTTTCCAGTTTCCTTTAAACACTGTGCCAAATCCACCCTTTCCTATTATAGTAGTTTTGTCCCAGCCCTGAGTAGCTGATTCCAATTCTAAATAAGGAATTAATGGAATAGACTCTGCAACTGTGGAAACATCAGAAGCACCTGCAGGAAAACATGGAAGATTCAACTTACAGGAATGGCATCAATAAACAATTGTAATAGAATATTATGAATAATATAAATTAAACAAAAAAAAAATTTACTAAAAATGTATTGAACTCATACTGACATGACAGCTTTCTCTCCTGAGGTGTGGGGTTATTTTCTTTTCCTTCTCTTCTCTGTTTTGCACCCATGTTTTGGACAGGAACTGGAGGTGACTGTACCGGAGGTACATCTGAGCTTGGAGCATCCACAGTCATTCGAGGAGCACGTATGTTACCTTCGTTGCTATCATTTTTACTCGAGGCCAAAGGCATTGGTTTATTTATAATTTTCCTTTCAGGTTGTTCTGGCATTAAAAGCATCTTATCTCTACCCATATCTCGTGGGGCATCTCGGCGATTCAAATTATCACCCCAAACATTCATGTTCTTATCTTCAGATGAATGAGACTGAGGCAAAGCTCTAGCATTTGCAGCGCCATCATTAGCATTCTGAAAGGTTCAATACTGCAGTTACATTTTTCAAAACTTGATATGTTTGCAGTTACTGCTTTGATAATCAGAAAGTTAATGTTCCAAAATTTGCAATAAAATATTTTTGAGTATTGATGTCAAAAAGGATCTCTATAAGCACTAACTACTTTTGTATACAATTTCCTTCATCTCATTGGAAGTTTTTCATGAATTATTGATTATTAAAAACCACTTAAAGTTGTTGGTAGATCGGGAGAATAGCTAACCCCTTTTCAAAGTCCCTCCGGTGCTCACGCTGTTTTATAAACCTCCCTCACTTTTAAGAGAATTTATTTGAAAGGGAACACTCACTTTTAAGAAAATTTGGTAGAAATGCAGAGTGTGATTCAATTCACTCACGCATGCGGAATTGTGACGCTTTGCTATGCGTGTCCAAGTTGAGGATGAGGCTCTGGCCTTCGGCCCTCACGTTTACATAAAACATCTTTGATTCTATCCAATGCATTTTATGTGAATAATTATCTTAAAAAATATTGTACTCACATCTAGACTTGAGAATATGTAACTATTAATATTGCCTTGACCTAGGGGGGTAGCAATTCTCCTGATTAGCCAAGTTGTAGTTACCACTAAATAATGCTTTTGGAAGTTTTTATCTTTTGAGTACATTAATTCTGTAGTTTAATTTACTCTAAAATGTATTAAATTGTAAAAAGGCTGACCTGGTCCTGACGGGGAGAATCAGAGGCTGAATTGCCATCTTCATCATCAAAGAACCTAACATTTTCTTCACCTTCGTAAATCAAATCATGGTATCTAGGATCAACTGCAACACAGTACTTTTCAAACAAATGTGTCAGGAGTAAAATCTAAATACATCTATTTAAGATGTGCAGATTATACTTGCCTAATGGTTTTAAGACTGTCATTGCTTGATAATGATGCATTTTAGATAATAAGACAAAAAGCTGGAGGACAGTATGATTTTGTTGGCCCCACATTGTTAACAATTGACTGGTAGGAGACTTGCCACGCTGATCATCACGCCTAAGGTCTAATATGATACTCATATCATAATTCATATACTTTCCACCTACAAAATTATTTTCAATAAATTTATTTGCACATGTTAAATGACATAATATGTATAAAATAATACTTTTGTGGTATTATACATATAATATTATAATAATATAGTACCACAGAAGTACACAGATTGACTTTCACAGTTACTAAACTTTGGATGTACTATCAGTTTCAGTGTATTTCGTATATTGATTAATAAAAATACAGTATTACTCCCTCAATGCTTTTACTGTGCTTGTCAGAGAAAGAATTAATATACAAATTATTACAAATACAAAACTATTTACTAAAATTGTAGCAATTCAAAACAAACTACAGAAATTCATAAATATTAAAACAGAAAATACATAACACTACATGTAATTAACCTCTTTAATAAATTACAAACGGACTTTGACGTCTTTGGTAAGTATTCGTTGAGTTTGCATCGTAATGTCAAGAACCTCACCTAGCTCCTCCCAGGTCATATCTCTGTCCAATATCCGACAAAGTTCTTGGTGCTGAGCATAAGGTAGATTATAAATATACCGATCAACACCGTTTCCATTCGAGGTCATTCTTGATGAAAACGACAGAATCAGACGTTTGAGATAAACAACTTCAGTCGGTGAAAAATCACACGCGTCCTTGAAGAGGAAGTTACTTGATATATCTTTCCTTAATTCTTCCGCAACACTTCCTTACGTTAAATTCTTAGCATCAATACCTAACGTCATCGTCCCTCATTTCTTAAAAATATAAATTGTCACACCGACACCGGTTGTTACACTTTCACCCTCAATCACTTTCACCTTCGCAGCCCTTTGCACTCCGTGAGTGTTGGCAAGTACAAAAATATACTAAATCCGCAATATGGCAGCTCGAACAATCAACTGCCAGAATAGCCAACATATAAACATCTGATGCTGATTTCCACTGTTCTCGCCCTTGGCATTACTGCACACAACTTCCACACATGACGTAATTAATAACATTATGCTATTGCTATAATGTAGAGATTCTAGTAGAGCAGGTCAGTGACAACCGCCGCGAGCGCCAGTTAGTCGTAAGACCGCGTCTGATTATATCGATAAATGTGTTGCGACAAATACAGAGCGAGAAATGTGGAAAATTGAAAAAACGGGACAGTAGGGCCTACCAGTGTCCACATACATACGCGTACAGGTTTCTCGCTTGCCTGTTCCAAGGCGGAAGCATGGTGTAAGCGATACCGTGGCCTAAAGAGCTTTTCGCCAGGGGCAGATCCAGCCGATTATTTTTATATTTTGCCCTTACTTCGTAAGAAGAGAAACTATTGTAATTTTACGGAAAACTGCGAATTTTCGATAGAGAAACTCTTATTGACGGGCCTTGTTAACGAAAAAATGGTAAATCTTATTCCTGAATATAGTAAAATACTTCCTCTAACACGTGTAGACAGAATTCGTGTTTTGTGGGTCCTTGATATCGAACTAGTGGTTCCTAAACAGCACGTATTTTCTTGCCATTAGTAATGGTTATGTAATACTATTTATACATCTCAACAATATCTCTCCGATTTAACATATCGTCAGCAGCCGTCATTATCGTCTTGTTATCAGTGCGGCGTTACAACAATGGGTTACAACTACCAACAATGACCGCTAATCTATTCGTTTTCACATTTAACACAATTAAAGGGCGTAATTTAAAATGAAATAGCATAGATATAAATATTTTAATAATAATAAAATAAAACATGATATAGAATAATTCTAATTCTATAATTCAAATTCTAATGTAGCATCCAATTGCCGAAATTGGGAGCGGGCACCTGAAGGCCAGCAATCTTTATTTCATATTTATTTCAAATATGTTTTAAACAGTTTCTAAAAGATAAATTTGTAAACGTATAACAAATGCTCCAGTGCAAGAAACGAACAAAGAAATATAAAATATACACATTCTAACATGCTATCATCCAACTGCCTCAAATCACTTCTAAAATTTCGATCACGAAGCACAGGATTTTCAGAGCGGGCGACTAACTTTGATGCCCAATTACTGAAAAAATCCCCATATTTTCGAAAAATTTAACATGACCTTATTTGAAGATGTTTTGATGGGCACATTTCATTTTAAAAAAGTGTTTTCATAATTGCAGTTATAGGAAGATGCCAAAAAAATTTGGAATTTTTTTCAATTTTCAAAAAAATAGGTATTTTAACCAACATGAGACCTGCGCCGTTCTCTTAAACTTCCTTCAGACTACCCAACAAAATTTAATCAAAACCGATGGCGCCATTTGGGGAAAATTTTGAAAATGTCTCAGGGGCTTCATGTAATGTACCCCCAAAATTATAATATCGATTTCAAATTCAAAAGTTCGTGACATCAGCCAGATCGATTGAGTAATATCAATTTTTGAGAAAATCGGCTGAAGGTTTAACCGCAAGCGTTGTTCACAGACGGACGAACAGACGTGTTCCCGTCAATCGATTTTTCGGTATCAAGGACCCATAAAACGGATTCTGGCTTCACGACGTGTTAGAGGATTTTTATTCTACATTTAGGAACTGGATTTATCCACTTTTTCATTACCAGGGCCCTCTGATATCTTGCCGAAATTCGCCTTTTTTTCGCGCAGCATTACATAATTTTCTCTTCTTAAGAAGTTCCTTCCTAACCCCGAAAAGTAAAAATCGATTGATGTCAAAACGTCTGCCTCTCCCTCTGTGACCAACGCTAGCGCCAAAACCATTCCGACGATTTTGTCCAAAAATGATTTATCCCGATCGATATAAAGGAACCCGATGCTCTCTGAATTTCAAACGGATATTTTGATTTTTGGGAGTACTGTACATGAAGCCCCAACAACATTTTCAAAACTTTCTCAAAAATGGTTTAATTTTTTTTAGATTGAACTTTGCCCTCGGATTTAGGAAGCATAAAAATGGAGGAGGTCTCATTTTCGTCAAAATCCTAATTTTTCGAAAATTGGCGTATTGAAAATATCGAAGGTAGAGATTTCGTCTTAAACGAAATGTGTTCTAATAAAATCATATCTTTAAAAAAGGTTTATGTACATTTTCTTTAACGAATAGTTTTCTCGTAATTTATGCTTGAAGTTGATATAAATTACCAACAAAAAAGAACAAAAAACAAACAAAAAAACACTTAATTTTTTCCAAGGACAGAACGAGGGATGTCTAAAAGAATGGCGCAGATCTCATTTTCGTTGAACTCTCTGAATGTTCGAAAATTGCAAATTAAGAAATAATGCCAAAAAGTATGTGCTGTTGAGCACCATTGGTTTTTTGGGGTATCTTAGATTTTGTTAAATAATGAACATATATTTATTATATTATATATTATTTTATTATATAAACAAATGACAGTTACATGTTGATTTTGAAATAATTACATAACGCTAATATAAAGATTTAAATCAATTTTGACAAAAAAGGTAAGGTAATAAGTCAGAATAAAATTATTCACTTTAATGATACAAGTACATAATGCAAACGCATGGAATATACAGTCACTTAAATGATCGGTCTCACTACCAACTTAAATTTTCTCATTGTATTCACATGATAGGGAGGTCAAATAATAATTGATAATTGATAATAATTGATTGGTTGTACTTGGTTGGTGGTGTTTGGTGAAATAACCTCTTTCAATCGATTTGTCATACTTGCAGCATTTTTTTAGTGTTTGAACTGTCTTTTGATACCCATTCTTTCTCCAATTTCCTCTTCAATACCTCTTGTGTGGAAATTTTATTTTTTTGTGATCGAGCTTTCAGTTCACACCACAAGTGCTCAATTGGGTTAAGGTTTAGAGGTGCTTCGAAGGCCTTGGGGCAATTGTAGAGAAGACAGCTTCGCACAATGTATTCTTTATGTTTTGAAGCACTGTCCTAATCAAATTCAAAAGTATCCTGAAATCCAAGAATATCCGCACTTTAGTGAAAATATTCCTTGAGAATACTGGGATAACCTTCCGTCGTCATTGTTTCTTCTACAAATCGCAATTCTCCAACTCCAGACGAAGATGCGCACCCTCACGCCATAAAACTGCATCCGCCATACTTAACAGTATGCTGTAGATTTCGTGTTTTTCTTTTCAAGTGTTCGGTGACCTTGCGTCATACCCTCGTTCTGCCAATTGATTGCCTCAAGGTAAATTTGCTCTCGTCATGAAAAATAGCATCCGACTACCACTCTGATCCCTTGTTCACTACTGCTTCGCGGATCCCAACCTTTTCTTTCGGTTGACCACGCTTATAAACGTGTTTTTCCTTGCCCAGGGTCGGATTTAAGGTGTGGATGGCCGGGGGCCCGTTTTGGTGGGAGGCCCTTTGTTTCAATGTGTTGTAATATGTAATGCGAAAACACAAAATGAAACAAAAACAAGTTTATTTACAAAATTGATTTTATATATTTAAATATGAAACGAATGAACACAAGTTTACTTATAGACGATAAAATCAATTTTTTTATCGAAAATTTAGTACGACATAAATAACAAATAACACATAAATATATTACAAATCACGTTATAACTATTACAGTCCTTGCATTTTCATTTATTTTCGTGCTGAAAAATCGCTGATGATGTCACTAAAGTCCAATTCACGCATTATATCTGACCCGATGCTCATGATAGGCAATTTTACAAGTTATTCCTTTCCTCATGTATGTCCTTAATCGGTTTTGAATTAATGTGTATTTTGAGAAAGTGCGCTCGCCATTGCAGTTTGTTACCATCAAAATTAGATTAATTCTTAAAGCTATTTACATGTTTGGGAAGCATCCAGCATACCCTTTTTCATGATAAGCTTGTACATGAAAAGTTCAGTGGTGATATTTTTGGCTCCTCAACTGTGAATATATTGGTAAATGTTAAAAACTGACACAGTTCATTTATAAATGCAATGTCCAAGTCATCTGAATAATACCTGACGAGTTGCTTTGCTGCGGACGTTAGTTCGTCTGAAGACAGTTCTTTCGGATGGCTTAAAAAGCTAAATTGGCGTGATATATCTTTATATAATTGTAGACGTTGGTCAAGAGAAGCTATATGCTGATCAATAACATGCAAGAAAGTGTATTTTTCAGAAAGGCTGAGGTGAGTTGTACTTCTTCCGTATGGCCATAATCCAATTGGTTAAGACGTACATTTTGCCTTTCCAGTTTTCGTGTCAACATGCTCTGTTTAACCAGACAACTCTTCGCCTTGCTTCTCATAACTTTCGGAGACACTTTTGACGCAAAGTTTTTTAAGCTGGTCAGTATCGCCACAGCAGTATTTAGATCGAGTTTTGCGTATTGTAGATTTTTACTCGTAGCATCTAATATTTGTACGGTATCATTCCAGAAGGTGGCGTAAATATCAATTTCAAGCCGATTCATAAGTATCCTACTTCACACCGAACACAGCCTTTTTCTTCAAAGTCATCAGCAATCTGTTTAAGTACACGATAGAGAGTCAAGGCTGAGTTGTTGTTTTTCAAAGCCTCAGAAGCTGATGCCAATGCTTTGAAACCGTGAAGACGAACAGCTCTTCAAGTCAAGTCAAAAAATGCACAGCACTCGAGCAGCTTCCTACAGCATTTTTAGCAACCAAATTTAGAGACACAAGGAATCCAGGATGCAAGATTTTTAGTCTCTCTCACTTTGGTTTGCAGACCGATATGCTCTTCACTCATTGAAAAACGCATTGTCGTAACTTTCACCGCGGCAGTTTCCCAGTTCTAGGTCATGTCTCTTCAAAATTTCCACCAAGGCATTGACCACGTTTTGAACGCCATGGTCTTTGTTGGCCATGAATGTTACAAAGCGTTCTACGTGGTCATCTTTCTCCATACACTTCAGTTCAAGGGTTAGTTGGTCAAGGAGGCCTGCATCGGGCCTGAAGTTCAAAGAGATGGAGTAGTGTTTTGATTTCTTAGCTCGAGAAATAATTTTTTCCGAGGATTTATTCATCCATTACACTGATAAGTTTTTTCCATTATTGTAGATGACAAATAGTTTGTATGACCTTTCCTGCGATTGCC